TATGCGCCACGCACATTATCCATGCAAGCTTTCAAGCTTGGGAGTATTGTTTGGCGCTCTAGCACGCATCATGCCCAAAAGTTTTGTAGACATTCTCCGTGGGATGCAACTTTCGGCCCCCCATTCTCGGCGACACTATATCGCTTCTCGCCTCTGGAAATAATATCCCGCCCCCAGGCCCCTCAGTGCGGAATCCAACTAAGATCAGAACAGCATTCCGTCAAGACCCCAATCGGATCCCAATCAGAGCCCACGAGGGTTGCAACATGAACCCAGCACGTAACTACTCTCCAAATCGGATTCTCATAGGGTTCCATGAGGATTCCAGATCCCAGTTGGACCCCACCATGGGACCTCCCCAGGAGTTGTCCGATGGTTGTCGGGCATACCAGTGTTTGTTTGGGAAGGCGTTCTTTAGTATTTTGAATTTGTCTCGGGGCTGTCTCAGGGATTTCGATTGCCTGTGAGACCAGCATCATCATCAGCAGCATCATCAACATCATCACCATCGTCATTAGCAGCAGCATCATCATCAGCATCATCGTCATCATCAGCATCGTCGTCGTCGTAATCATCGGCATCATCACCACCACCACCATCATCATCATCGTCGTCGTCATGGTTATCATCATCATCATCATCATCATCATCATCATCATCATCACCATCATCATCATCATCGTCATCGTCATCGTCATCGTCATCGTCATCATCATCGTCGCCGTGATCATCATCATCATCCTCTCTTCGGCTGTCCTGCCCATCTTATTCCCGCCGCCGCGCTCCATCGCGCGGCGGATCCCTCCTCTTCGGCATGCGCTCGTTCTTGGATCTTCTCCCGGGCGAAGTTTATGCTTGTGCAGCCGTTCCATGGTTTTGCCTATCGGCGCGGGCCCTCGCACCCCCTTACCCCCCCCCCGCCCCGTGGAGCAGGTCTTGGCTGTTTTTTGGCGCCTGCTTCAAGCGGGTGGAGTCCCCCCCATAGGACACACTGTGGCAAACAGACGTCGCATTAAGCAGAGGTCCGAAGCCATACCCCTCCCTCACCCACCCCTCCTTCCCTCCAATGTCGGAACGCCGAATCAGAGGGCGTTTGCATGGTTGGCACGTAGTCTTCCTCACACGTGGAGGCTCCGATGGTCTTGTTGATCTCTGTGCTGCCTTTTTCGAAATTCCCCTCCTGCTGTGTATCGGGAGACCCTCTCATAACGACTGTGAGCTGCGTGAGGCTACGTTGGGCAAGATCGTGGGGGAGGAGGAGGAGGAGGAGGAGGAGGAGGAGGCGGAGGAGGAGGAGGAGGAGGAGGAGGAGGGGAGGAGGAGGAGGAGGAGAAGGAGGAGGAGGAGAAGGTGGAACGGTCTGCGGGCTCCTCCCTGTGTATTCTACGCGGGGCCGTGGCTTCGGGGACGCGACTGCGGCGCAGGGTTTCAGGATCCGCTGCTTCGGGGGCACGAGCACAGCGTGGGTGACAGTTTCTGTCATTCGTTGGTTTGCCGATCGACGCGGGCCCTCGTCCTCCTCCTCCTCCTCCTCCTCCTCCTCATCCTCCTCCCCCCCGGTCGGCGCGGGCCCTCGCATCCCCCTCCCCCCCCCCCTCCATTCGGGCCGGACGAAAGGGGGGGATTGGGAAAGGGGGGGGTGCGAAATCTGCTGCATGCAGCTGGTTTCGGCCCCAGCGAGGGGCCCATTCCTCGATGCATAGCCGCCTCTGGCGCCAGGAGGCGCCGGGAAAATCAGCGACGTGAGCTGATTCTCAACCCCCCCCTGTGCTATCCCCCCCTTCCTCCTCCACCTCCTCCTCCTCCTGCTCCTCCTCCTCCTCCTCTTCCTCCTCCTCCTCTTTCTCCTCCTCCTCCTCCCCCTCCTCCCCCTCCTCCATGGAGAGCAGATCTTGGCTGTCTCGGGGGCGCTCGTGTCAGGCAGGTGGAGGTCCCCTCCCACGCAGGACGCACGGCTCAGCAGACAGCGGTCGCACACTTGTTCGCAGAGGGCCGGAGCCGCCCCCCCCCCGGAGCCTTGAGACGGGGGTCAATGCAAACGGGGCGCCGTGGCCGTTATTTTCCAGGCTCGCGCCCGCCAAGGTTGGGCCTCAGGTCGTTTGCACTAAACCACGCTTTACTAAAGGGGGGTCTGTCCATCCCCGGTTATCATGATACGGGCCGGCTGAACAGACGACAGTGTGTGTCGGGGGCTTTGGGACGGGGGTCAATGCAGACGGGGGCCAATGCAAACATCGACTAGACGTAAAAGTGACCTTTCGCCCGATTGACCTTTGGTGCGGGCCCAAAGGGGTCCTCCGATCGCCTACAGCGATGCGATAGTAGCGTCTTGCGCGCTTGGGTTTGTCCCCCCCGCGGTGCCCCCAAAGCCGCGCACCAAAGGTCACTCTTACCTAGGGTCACTCTTGCGTGTAGTCGAAAACAGGGGTCAGCCAGGGCACCGGATCCCGCAGGATCTTGCGAAGACCCCCTCTGGCTGACCCGGGTTAGCGAGCCGCTCGTGGCCGCGAGGCGGCCGCGCCCATTGGTTGACACGGGTTTGCGAAAATCTGCGTTGCGTTTTTTTGTTGTTCTTGCAGTGCAGTTTTTGGTTTCCTGCTGACCCGGGTCTGGATTGACCCGGGTCAGAAGATCCCCGACCCCCTCCCCCCCCTTTCCGCCAGAGGTCGAAGCGCCGAACAAAGAAAGCGCTCACTCATTCATCAGGTATCGTGGACTCGGCGCGAACATAGCGTAACTTACCAAGGATTGTGGCCTCGGGGGCGCGAGCATCGTTTTTTCCCCATGTATATATATATATATATATATATATATATAACCAGCGGTCGTCGTCTCGGGGACGCGCACATGTGGTAATTGATTCAAGTGGGCCCGTGGCCTCGGAGACACGAAGATTGCATAAGAAGCATAGGAATCGTAACCTCGAGGGCGCGAATAGTGCATCATCTACAGGTTGCCGTGGCGTCGGGGACACGAATATCGCGTTATTTCTGAGTGGTTGTGGCCTTGGGGACGCGAACATTGCGTCATTTGCGAGGGATCGCGTCGGGGGCGCGAACGTAGCATAATTCACAATGGATCGTGGCCACAGGGACCCGCATATCGCGTAATTTTCGAGGGATCGTGGTCTTGGAAGCGCGCATACGGTACAATTTACAGGAGAGATCGTGACCTCGCAAACGCAACTACGTTGTAGTTTACGAGGAACCGTGGCCTCGGGGACGCGAACCTTTGAGAACGCTGACAGAAGTGTGGCCTCATGGACGCGATGCCGCGAGCACTGGATGATTTTCGAGGCATCGTGGCTTCGGGGGCGCGAACCTCGTGTATGTTTGCATGCCCCACGGCCCCGCATGGATGCAACGCAGGCGATTTGGTCGTGGTAAAATGCCGGTTTGGTGCTCCCTTTTTTTGTCCAGGGAACGTAAGACTCGAGTAAGCCGGAACTTGGGTTTGCCGACTTTTTTTGACGAGCGCGTCCTGGATTTTGACGGTCCCGTTTTCGTAGGATGCCTGCAGCGGGAGCCCGCGTCAAATTTCAGATTGGGTCTCGTCCTTTTGATGATGGCCCCCCGTCAGGCCAACCCGAGTCCCCCGTACCCGAGTCTTACGTCTCCCCGACTTTGCGCGGTTCAATCACAGCTTACAGTAGGAGGTAGAACGTAAGACTGCAGCACGGGAGGCTCGGCATTGGGGAGTTGGAGCAGGGAGCAGCGAGCCGAACCCGCGCAGCTTGCTTCATGGCCCCGTGAGCGGGCCGGCAAAATCTGTGGGGAGGAGGTGTGGGCCGGGAGGGCGCACTTTTTCAGCATCGGTCGTGCGTCTTGGGTTGAACCAGGTCTCCATCATCCTCCCTGCCCTCGGCAAAGACGAATAGACGTAATTTCTCCGAGTTCCGTGCGGGTTTCTTGCATCGGCGCCTGGGCCGCCCTGGCGGTGCAGCTGGCGCGGCCCCTGGCAAGCTCCGCCGTCAGGGGAGGGGGGTCCGCACGGAGCTCCGAGAAATTATGTTTATGCCGTTGGTTATTCCTCCAGTGATGCATCCTGGATTCAATCATTTCTCCATCATCAGCATCACCATCATCATCATCACCATCATCATCATCATCATCACCATCATCATCACCATCATCATCATCATCATCATCATTATCATCATCATCATCACCATCATCATCATCATCATCACCATCATCACCATTATCATCATCATCATCATCATCATCATCATCATCATCATCATCATCATCATCATCATCATCATCATCATCATCATCATCATCATCATCATCATCATCATCACCACCATCATCATCATCATCATCATCATCATCATCATCTTCAGCATCAGCGTCATCGTCATCATCATCCATCTTCCTTGCCTCTCTCCGTCCTCGTCTTCTTCGCTTTCCTTTTCCGCCCTCCTGTGTGGGCGTTGGACCTGCAGGCAGACCTCGGAGAACAATCCCCACTCCTACTGTTGCTCCTTCCGCCTGGCCGACGGCCGCGACCAGCACCAGGAGAGCGACGACCGCCACGGCGGCGACAGCCGCTGCTACGACGATCATCTTGGCATCGCTCGGACGTGTGCATTTTTCCTCCGGCGAGGAACATCGAGGAGCATCCTTGATCATTTCGCGAAGAAAAACCACGCACGAAACCGAAAACAGCACAGGAAATGGACGTCCGAGCGATGGCCAGTCGCCACAGTGACCACGGCGACGGCGACGACCGACTGCGCGGCGACGACGGCAACGGCGCCGACGGCGGCGACGACCGCCACGGCGATCACGATAGCAGCGACGACGACCACGACGTGGGCGAGCACGCCGCCGACGACGACGACGACCACGGCGGTGGCGGCGACGGCGGCGCCGGTCCCCCCCCCCCAGCAGGAGGCGTTCCGGCGCTCGCGCGACGCGCTGATCGCGAACCCGTCCTCGCCGCGCATCCGCATCGGGCTCCGGGAGGTGGTGCAGGACGGGCGCCCCGCCGGGGGTCGAGGGACAAGGGCGGGCACGCAGCCGGGACGCTGAGATGAGGACCGCTCCGTGTGCGGAGGGGGCTCGCGGTCCCTTCGGTCGTTCCATGGATGTTCCTTCTGGACCTCCTGTTGCACCCGGGGCTCTTCTGGTGCAGAGAAGAGGGCTCCGTTCCCAGCAGCCCGACTGCAAACCGAGAACCTTTCGGAGGTCCGCGCGGATTCCTTGGATCGGCGATCTGCCCCCATGGCGGCACCTTCGGCGCAGCCCCTGGCGCGCCATGCGCGCCAGGGAGGGGGGCCGGCGCCGATCCAAGACATCCGCGCCGGCTTCGTAGAGTTTTTGTTCGTGCCGCTGTTTCCACTTCTGTTGTCGCCAACCCCGAACGGGCCCGCTCAACGGCGCGCGCAGCGCGCCATGGACGGGGCCGGAGGCGCCGCTGGGGGGGCGGGCGGGCGCCGATCCAAGAGAGCCGCGCGAACCTCCTAGAAAGGTTATATGCTTATGCCGTCGGTTGTTCCTCTAGGCGGCTCCCCGGCCGCGGAGCTCGAGGGTGGCAGTCTGTGGTGGACCGAGGTTTTGGGGCCTTGAAGAAGGGGGAGGGGGAGGAATCCCTTCCTCGATCCTCGACTCCTCCCCTCCCCTTCCCGCGGGCGGACCGTCGACGAAGTCCGCGCGGACCGTCGGACGTTTCATGTTTATGTCGTCGTCCAAATTCCGCCTGCAGGGGGACATGCCCGACCCAAAGGAAGCCCGTGCGCAGGCGCGCGCCCCACGGCCGCTCCCGACGGCAGCTCCGGCGTCGCGCGCGGCGTGCGGCAGCGGGCCGCGCTTGCGAGCGCCGGGCGCGGCCCGCGATCGCGCCCAGCGCACGAGGCCGCGACCGCCCACCAAACGCAAAGCGCAGCTCTGATGTTTGGAGCGCGCTGGAGGTCTGGATGGGCCGATTCTCCACCACCACTACCGTGGGTAGGAGAGGGGAGGAGGAGGAGGAGGAGGAGGAGGAGGAGGAGGAGGAGGAGGAGGAGGAGGAGGAGGAGGAGGAGGGGGAGGGGGAGCAGGAGGAGGAGGAGGAGGAGGAGGAGGAGGAGGAGGAGGAGGAGGAGGAGGAGGAGGAGGAGGAGGAGGAGGAGGAGGAGGAGGAGGCGGAGGAGGGGAGGAGGAGGAGGGAGGAGTAGGAGGTGGAGGAGGAGGAGGAGGAGCTGGCGGCCTCGTCGAGAACGGCCGGCATGCTGGACATGCACAATTGTCTGTCGATGAAGAGCGCCAAGCGGCGCGAGGCGTCGGCATTTCGGTTGGATCGAGAGGACCCCTAGCAGGAGGTGTGTTTACATATTCGGGGGAGAAACAGATACGGATACGTGTTGTCCCCCTTCGTTTTCGGCCTTTCCTGGTCTCCTGGGGAATCCTCGTTGTCACCGCTGGATTCGCCTCGAAATTCTGGTCAGAACGCACCCCAAGAGAGGTCCGGGGACAACACGTATCCGTATCTTTCCGCCCCCCAACATATTGTAACATTCATGCAGTGGCGAAGCTTCCCGGCTCGCTTATAGGCCTACCAAATAATGCTCTAAGCACCTTTTGTGGTCTCCACGAAATGTTATTTGAACATTTCTTGTTGGGACTGTCTTGCTTTAACACGTCGGCCTTACGTTCTAAGAACACTGTTGTTGTTCTTAGAACATTTGTGGGTTTCGTGGTAGGCCTAGAGAAATGCCTGGACGGTCGGTCCCTGCTCAAGAACTTCCTTAAGCAGCGTATGTGTCAAGCGTGCTCAAAGCGGGGGCGCGGCCCTGCGTCGATCGGCCCTTCGCCTCAGGGCGCGCGCGGCGTCGGCCCCTGGTACCTTCGCCAGCCCAGATCGCTGAAATGAACGGTTCTGTGGGTTCGAGCTGACCAAAGTTTGGGGGCGGCCAAGAGGGGGGTGACTAGGGGATGTCTCCCCAGATTTCATGGCGCCTCTTCTTATTTCAATGCGTTTCTTGGCCCCCCCCTGGTCCGCGCACGTGCCTCGGACCATGATTCCCACCCCCCTCGTGGACGCCCCCCTCATTGGACGCCCCCGAAAAAAACACGAGCATTGTCCACTTCGCCCGTCGCGCGTCTGGTCTGCACCATTTCCCGAGGCGCATCTGGGCAGCTCTCCGCTTAGGGGCGTCCACAGGGGCTTCTCGAGCCCCTCTTGAGACCTGTCGCGCGCCTCGTCGTGCTTCCCACGGTTTTTTTTGTCAAGCGCCCCTTGGATTTACGGGCTGCCTGTGTCATTTTGACAGCTCCCTGGGGAGTCTCGACGAAGTCTTTGGATGTTTCGATATTGGTGGACGCTCCCTGTCGTTTCTCGATGCATTTTTGCACATCTGTTTTGCGTGGACTCCTCCCGCAGCCCCCGGCCGTCCAGACTGCGCCATTGGCGCGATGAGGATTTTTCACTCAGGCGCCTCGTTAGGCGGCTTTGTCAGACCGCAAGCTCGCTTGATTCACGCGCTTGGCGTCGCGCCGCGCAGATTTCGGCCTGATGGTGGAGAAACTTGACTTCGGCGCGAGGGTTCAAAGTTCAGAAATTACGGGCCCACAGATGAAACTTGTTTGTGCGGTTCCATCGCAGCATCGCACAGCCAAAAATGCGACTGGAGCCCTGGGCCTCGCATTCCTGCTGCAGCTCTCAAGCCGCATATCGACATGCGAGGGCCCCGGGGCCCGAAGGCGGGCGAGAGCGCCCGGTGCGGAAGATCATAAGGCGCCCCGATTTCAGGCGTGGCCGTGAGAAACCAACAGATACCGACACCGCTGCGTTCCGGACCTCTCCCGGGATGCGTTCCGATGACGATGTCGAGGCGAAGCCCCGCCCTGGCGACCAGGGCCTCCCAGGAGGCCCAAGAGGGCGAGAGCGAGGCAAGGGTAGCGGTCCAAGGCCCCCTTTGCGTCGGTGCCTTTTTTTTTTTTTGAGTTTCCAGAGTGCTACAAATAGCCCAGACATATAGACCCATCCAGACTGCTCAAAACCTCCGCTGGATTTTGACATGTCGAGGTCCTGGTGCTGTTTTGTAGCCCATCGAGGAAGGTCGGGGTCCTTCTCTGCGTCTGCGGCGGCGGCAGCGGCGGCGGCGGCGACGGCGGCGGCGGCGCCGACGAGCGCGACGACGGCGGCGGCGGCCGCGGCCGCGGCGCCAGCCGCGCGCGCGCGCGCCCCGCGCGAGGGCGGCGCCCTGGCGCCGCCCGCGCGCGAGCCGCCGCGCGAGGCGGGCCGCTGCCAGCGCATGAGGGGGCGGCGGGCTCCCTTGTCGAGCATGGGCGAAGCGTCCTGGCTCGCGTGAAGGACCACCGAAGGATGTGCTAAGATCCTTCTGGAGGAGGAGGAGGAGGAGGAGGAGGAGGAGGAGGAGGAAGAGGAGGCGGAGGAGGAGGAGGAGGAGGGGGAGGGGGCGCCCCACGTCGTCCGTTGGTCTGCGCTTCTCGTCATGGCTGCTGGCGCCCCCATGTACGTTGGGGCTGCGCTTCCCGCCTAAGGTCCTGGTTTCATGTGCTACTCGTTCCTTCGGGCGAGTGCAGTGTTGCCAGGTCTTGCGGGCGAGATTCGGCTGCGTCTCTCGTGCACGTTGCTGCTCTCCTCGTCCCCCGCTATACTTGCCGCCTATCTCACCGCTGAAGTATGCATGCGTGGACACCTCAGACGTTGGGTCCCTCAGGGCTGCGGGAAGAAAGGGGGAGGGGAAGGGGAAGGGGGAGGAGGAGGAAAAGGAGGAGGAACAGGAGGAGGAAAAGGAGGAGGAACAGGAGGAGGAGGAGGAGGAGAAGGAGGAGGAGGAGGAAGAGGAGGAGGGGGAGGAGGAGGAGGAGGAGGAGGAGGAGGAGGAGGAGGAGGAGGAGGAGGAGGAGGGAGGAGGAGGAGAAGGGGAGGAGGGGAATGGGAGGAGTGGGAGGAGAGGAGGAGGGGGAGGAGGAGCGCGTCGGCCAGCCGAACTGGCGTGCCTGCGGCCCCGCGCCCCGCGGGGCGCCGGTGTGCGCGGGGGAGGCCCCGCCCTCCAGGCGGCTTCAAGCGCTCCGTGGGAGCGTTCCGTGGGATGGACAGAGCCCCCACCCCGACACATCGATTGGTGACATTTCTCCTCCTCCTCCTCCTCCTCCTCCTCCTCCTCCTCCTCCCTCCGCGCCCCCTCCTCCTCCCTCCTTTTCCTCCTCCTCCCCCTCCTCCTCCTCCTCCTCCTCCTCCTCCTCCTCCTCCTCCTCGGGGGCGGACAGAGCCCCCACCATGACACGTCGATTCGTGAAATGTCCTTTTTTGGTTCTCGAGAGGGTGCCGCGGCCGTCATTTCCCAGGCTTGCGCCCGCCGGGTTGGGGCCGGAGGTCGTTTTCAGTAAACCACGTTGTGCCAGAGGGTGCTTTGTCCATCCCCGATGTTGTGCGGTCTGTACGCCATGTTCTCCAAACACTTCTGGCTGAGATGGTGGTGCTTAAACACACTGGGTTTCGGTTCTAAGAAAACAGTTGTCCCAGACATGTTTCCATTCGCGGGTCGAGAGCGCACCTCTTCCGGTCGAAGCTAAGCGGGCCGCGCGAAGCTTGAATTACTAAGGAAGGGGGAGGAGAAGGGGGCGCGCAGCTTCAAAACGAGGCCGGGAGGAGGCAAAGCCTCGCGATCAGGCGGTGCCGTAGTCGACGTACTTGCAAAGGCGCGCCTTTTCCAGGAACCTGGTGGCGAAGTACCGGTAGAAGCAAAATGCTGTGGTGTTGCTGCCGTCAACGGCTCATCATTTAAACCAGCCTCGAATTGGCGGCGAGAGGTGACGAGCCTTGCAACCAAGCAGCGTCAGGGATCAGGGAGAGTGGAGAGGGACGCTGAGACGAAATGCAACGTTGTGCCATCGAACAGGTAGCAGGAGCGAGTGCCCCAGGGCCGTGGTCGTCCAGGGTGCCACGGGTCCAAGGCACGGGAGGCGCAGTGA